TTTTGTGATCACGTGTCAACAAGTACGACAAAAAATTTTGAGGCTTGTTGGCGACATAATTACCATTGTCCTATCGTAGTCATTACTCTCATAGTCACAAATATCTGATATGAGCCGTGTTCACGTTGTACATTGTTTCGTTGACCGATGGTTTGTAAATAGAAATGAATCAGAGGTGGTGACTGACGAGGCTGATGTGAGCATGTGACTGTGAGAAGACCGGAAGAAAGTTTACTCGAAAGGCAATGGAGTGGATGCGTGTGACCACCAAGGGTTTGACTCGAACTTATCTGCAAACGCCTCTAACCAATGACGTATCCACCTCTTGAGGGCCCGATCAACCGGGATGGCTGAGTTATCTGGTACCGACTTTCACACTTTTCTACCAAACCGTTGGATGACCTCTCCTGGCTCGTCTCAACCTTCGGCTTGGTTTCGCGAACAGGGCTGGTAGTGGAAACCGGTCCACTGGCATATGAAACACGTGACCAAGCTATCACAACCTTCGGAGTGTGATCAGTTCGATTGTCGTGTGCTAATTACTTCCTCTGTAAACAATTTCGGGTTTCCTACTATCTTCGGGCAATTATAGATGATCAAACATTGAACCATTTGGCGTCCTCAATCGCCGAATAACCCCTATAAACAATTCAATGTGCACGACATGTGAAATGCTGGTTTTTGTCACCCATGCATTACAGGATTTCAAAAGCTTACATGAGCTATCCTGATATCTGCATATTGAATGAGGCTCAGGTTCGATCCCACGATTTTTAAAATTCCTAAGGCTGATAGCGAGACAGCTCTCTCGAGGTTTTTTTATTGGCCCGTTTGCGGTTCGCATTCCGTTGTGATACGTTTCCTTTGATTTCATGGATTACCTTCTATTTTTGGTAGCTTTCATTTTGTATGGCTGGTCCTAGCTTAATCTGCGTTCGCATCTGACCGGATAGTCAGATGCCACATTTGGTTAGTTTGATCAATTCGTTATATCGATTTAACCGTTCAACTCGGGTTATCTTACTTCTGTGAGCACATCATTTGGTCTTTTGGGCGCAAACTAAAACGTGGAACAGAGCGAGCGTTTCACTTTGAATTGCGTTGATCTCGATTGAGCGAGAAAACGCAGAACAGCACAAATTCAAGTGCTCCAATAGAAGTCAGCTAAGGAGACGAACGTGAATTTCATGAATCACCGCAGTCGCATGGAAAGAAAATGTTAAGTTCTGTCTGAGTGTGTCAGAGTGCGTGACTTGAGTTTTGCGCACAGGTTTCGGAGACAGACCTGCATCCACCTTGAGGGGACACAAGGTCGTGGTGACTACTACGTCAAGGTTGCAGCGTCACTTGCATACAACATTCGTAAAGGGCTTGGCATATTGGATTTTTGAAGGGTTCTAGCTTCAATAATGCATCATAACACAATGGAAACCATAAGTGTTGCGGTTCTGTGCGACTACTATTTTCAGAATCTCAGCGTTGAAATGATGAGTGATGTAAACCTGAAGTTTGGTTCAGGTAGTTCTGTCTGGAGCTGGAAGATAACATTTATTGACTGATGGCCTGTACGATCTGTGATATCCCAAGGACGATTCCGGCTTACAGGAAGATATGAACACCGTCCAAAAATGGATCACCTCCATGAAGGGACAGCGTACCAGGATCGTTCCTTGAACAAAAAGCAAGCTCTGCTTGCAGCCTGTGGATCTCTTTCTAATCTTATTCGGTCACAATTCTGCAATCTGCATTTGAACAGGAAAAAAGGATTACCAAGTACCTGAGTCCGAACCTCCGTACATGTAACGGATTTGGAGCAAACCTAATGGCTTAGTTTGGAGGGAAAACAATGGTCGCTTCTCGTAAAGTGACTGAAAATTCTTCGACAGCCCACGACCGGTTTTACCATCCTCATAACCAACCTAATGGGAACATTCCCCGAGTTTCCGTCAACCGCATGTTCTACTTGGACCGTGAAAATCAAATGGGCAGTTTGTGTACATTTTTTGTCCAAGTATAACATGAGGCTGACGGCAACTCGGAGACCACGCCTAGCTCATGAGTACCAAGGAGGACAAAACCGGTCTTTGGCTTCCAGGTAGTTTCTTAAACTTCGATATTATACGGAGCAAAACGTGAATGGGTTGTTACATGGCGCGTTCAGTGGAAGAAGACCATAAATGAGCGATCCAACCCGGATTCAGCCAAGTCTCTAGTTAGGACCAAATTGACGAGAACGACGAGCCTCATCGCAATTTTTCGCTTCACACTGATTTGCACACTTTGATGAAGTTTTCGATACGATTCCCCGAGATGCATAGACGTTTTGGCCTTTATGAAGATTGTGAGAAACTAACCTTGTATCTGTTTATGTTTTGCCGGAAGCCAAAAGAACTTAGGGTGTAGCAGATTGCACTACTGTGGTGACGAAATGAACCCAACGCACCGGTCCCACTCTGGCTGGAAGCTCTTCCACAGCCCATCATCGGTTTCGCTCTTCTCGGAGTTCATCAAATGGGCTCAGAACATCATAAAAAATAGATCCAGGCAGGTTTCAAGTGAATCCTTCGTCAAAACAAAATTGGCAAGTGAATAAGACAACACTGAACTGTTCCGGCAAAACTCGTTCAGAAAATGATTCTAACGTGCTACTTTGGGTGGAATGCTGATCCTAGGAGGAACGGAAAATCCTGGGGGGGCTTTCGGGATTCTTGAAGACCAAACCGATCACCCTTTTAAAGTTTCACCCTACAAGGATCGGAATGAAAGACGACCGGTCCGCTTTTACCCGACAGTGCTGGCTGCAAACTGAGGCAATTCCTCTTGCACAGTTCACAGGGGGAGCAGACACCAAACTTTGACGATACGAAATACCGACTCCCTGAAGATCATTATGAGTCATACGGAAGTGACCATTGTGAGTATATTCCCCAGTGTGTTCAGCGAAAGCTGGTTTCAGTATGTCCGTTAATTTACTCAACGTGTATGAGCTTATACCTGCTGTAACCTGGATACAGCCTGCATATCACCTGAGGCGATTGTTGACTTTTGGCTGAAACGTGTCCTGTGAGTGCCCCGGCACCAGGTCGATTGTGTCAAAACAAAGAATTCAGCAGATGTTGGCAACAATCTTATGTGTTAGCGATTGTGTAACGCTACTTATGGACTGTCTGGCCTTGATCCAAGGCTATCTCGCAATGTATAACTTTGTTCCAATTCTGTCTCGCGCTCTATTTTGAAGGACACTTTCTTAATTCGATCAAAAACTGTCTCGTGCTGTACACTGAGCGGACACTGTGTGACCTTAATCCAAGGTTGCCTCACACTGTCTATATTGGATCCAGGGCTCTCTGGTCGGCTTTTTGTCGAGCTGAGGGTCTCAGTAGGTTTCGGGCATTCTGAAAGTAACCTTCAGAACTTTCAGATATTTTAGTTCTGACTGAAACACAGGCCAGTCGTGTGAGGAATGCTCACTTAGTTGATATTACAGACGAAACATTCGGCTGGTCTTGAATTCAGCCTCCCGGTATCAAGCGGATAAATAATGTGTTCCAATTTTCTATGCTTTTCTGAAAGCACTTTAACAGAGGATACTATTGATGAATAGATCTCATGTATTCGTTTCACTTTGGTAAAAGCTCTCGTACTGTCGTGTGGATGAATAAGTTCCTTGATAAAATTACACAAGAAGTGAAGCTCTCGTCATTCATTTTGAATACTGGGACGACCTGTTAGCACCATTTATAATGTCCATCAAAATGATGGGTGCATAACTGGATAAAAAAGACACATGAAAATGCGAGAAACTTCAAGGTGAAAAAAATAAAAGCCGGAAATCCTAGGAAAAATTCTATGCTTGAAGAAAGGCACGAATTAGTGGACTGGTGAGACAGTTGATTAGCAACGTCAACAATTCCCAAAAGTCAATTTATCATTGGAATCACACTTTATTATTTTCGAAACGGCTAGGATGAACTGCGCGTGTATAGGCTAATTTGGAACTGTACACCAAATCCGTGTGTATTGTTGGTTGAATTTGCTTTCATCATCATCATCATCATCATCATCATCATCATCATCATCATCATCATCATCATCATCATCATCATCATCATCATCATTATCTTCATGATCGTCATCAACGCCATCATCATCATCATCGACAGCAAAAGGGTAAAGTTGGACGGGAAGGGACTTAGTGCTAGCTTACCACAATTATTCCGAGGTGTCCACACCTCCAGATATTCACCCAGGAGATCTGGATAGAAACTTACAACAAGAACGTCACTGACATCGGTTGGCAGACATATATTAGTGTCTCCAACCAGGCACAGTGAGGATCACGCGGAAGGCGAGTAGCGCCGATAGCATCATACCCCTCTGCAAAGTCAAGGGTTGGCCACCTCTCTGTTTTGGGGATGGAAATCAGCACTCTCTTCGGCAAACAATGGTTCGGCATACGCAACACATATCCCAACCAACGTAGCTTCTGGTGTTGGACACATTCTTCAATGAAAGTGCCCGTTACACCATCCAAAACGCGCTCCCTAACTACCTCATTATGGATTCGCCGACACCAACACACACAGGCTATGGTTGTGAGAAAACGATTGTCGAACAACTGAAGACGTCTTAGTTCGGCTGCTCGAATTAGCCAAGTCTCACAGCCATACAACAAAATAGCCCGTACTGTAGCCTGATACACACATCCCTTGAGCTTCGCGGATAAAGCATTCTGACACCATGGGTGTCTCAAATTGTCAAACGCGGTCCGAGCCTTGGAGATTCGTGCATTCACCTCATCTGCCACACGATAATCCGAAATAATACAATTTTGATAGCCGGCTAATATGATGTCCTGACATTAGATCTCACATCTTATTTGATCGTATAACAGGCCAACAGATGCCTGGATGCGTTCATCCATCAACTTTCTGAGTTGGCACGGAAGAACGAGATTTTTTTCACCGATTAACACAATGTAAAGTGTAATTTTTACTTACCGTTCCTTGTTGCTTGCGTTTGAAAAGAATCCACCCGAAAAAGAGCCCCATGGTGTATGTACCCCAGTGTGTGTACGGTTTGACAAGGAGCAAATCGAACGACGTCCTGAAACGAGCAAAATAGATTGACGTTACCATATCGTTCTGTGGATAAATACCACGCGGTCATAGTGTCTCAGAGACGGCATTGAGTAAGTGATTGAAAGTGGGCGATTTCAGCATCCCAGCTCGGAGATGATTAAATAATTACTTGTGGGTGATTGGGAGAGTTGTAGAGTACGTGCTCACATCACTCTCGTTGGACAGTCATCCTTCTGGCCTGGAACCTTATGGGTCCTCATCAAATGTGCGGACGCAGTGAACTCGAGATTCGCTCTTATTAGAGTGAATCATTAGTGCATATCCTACAGCATATTAATTGCATGTCCAGTCTGATAACCAGGTTCATTATGCATTCCTTATCGTTGGTCTTATCAGGACATAAACTAGAGCCAACGCACTAGAATGAGTTCAAAAGCCCCAAACATACCAACTGGTCAATTTAGGAAATGTCTGGTTCATTAAAACCTCCAAGAATTATTGGTTTGTGGCTGGTTACGGCACGTTCTCTTAAATAATTGACAAGAGATCTGCGTAATTATGGCTGCGCTGTGCACGTCTGATTAGCAATGTAGTTGAATCGATAAACGCTGACATTTTTAAAAAAAAATTGAGCATGATTCTAGGGAGGCGCGCAATTTGTTCAGCTTTTTGAGCCATCAGAACCAGGACTCTACTAATTGTTTCAAGATCTGAAACAAAGTTTCTGATCCCGGGCAAATCGCCTTCCCTTAGCTTCCTTGCTCGCAGTAGGTTTCGACGACTTCCACCGTTCGCTCTGGCGTCTGCATACCTACTCCGGGGACCAGAACTGTAGCAACGGGAACGCTTGTCACATGGTTTATACCTGGTCGTAAAGTCGTTTATGAACCACCACAAATACGCAAAAAAAAACAGGAAAATCACGTGTTCTGAAAGCACGTGCTGTTAGCATATCTTTGGAAGAGTCTTTTACCTTGTGAATTTTGGCTACTGCAAACCGTTACATAATTGTTCACAGTCACACCACTCTCGTTTGAACGGTCGTCCTCCTGTTCTGGCGCAATTATTCCGGTGAGTCCACACCAAAGGGAAGCACTGGACTCGAGTTTCGCTCGTATTAGAGCTCATCAGCAGTGTACGTATCCAATGGCCGTGCCGGGATCTGAACCCCGGACATCTGACATGTGGGGCCAGCGCGTAATCACTACTCCACCAACGCACGTTAGTGTTCACGTCTGAACATGTTACATAATTCCTGGCAGGTAATAATATACAAATTTCCTTCAGGAACTCACGCTGTCAAGTGTCCTTGGAAGGACTCATTCATGTACACTATCCCAAACGTGGACGCGATAGATGACGTGAGGAGGACCACGGCAAACATCACTCCGACTCTAGCGTTCCTGTAACCCAAAGAATAAATAGCGTAAGGTTATGTACACATGACTACTCATCTGCGCCAGGTCGGTTAACCCACACTTGAACGGGTCTTAAGATATTGTCGTTTATTTTTGAAGAGCATGGTCACAAGCGTAAAACGTGAATGCGAGCGACGAATGCGAAAGGGTAACAGGAGAATATGGGAGAAAAGAGCAAAACGTCTCATTCAAAATCATGCCAAGAACAGTTCCAGTCTGATGAGATGAATCCCAAAGTATGTAAAAATTTTGATATGGAAACACGCGTTCAAAGACAAACAAACTAAGAAACGAAGAAAGGACAATGTTGAACGCTCTTCAAGGCGCGGTAGGCTCTAGCACAGTCAAGACTCGCACATCAGTCACAAATTGTTCGTCATACTTGGTCTGGTGTGAGCTTAAATGGCAAAAATGTACATTCAGCGCCATGTGAAACGCATAAAAGTGTCATAAGTACGCAGAGAGCCCAAAATGGCAAGCAAATACGAGTCACTGACTGCGACCTTAGGAAGTCCCAGTCCAATAACAGCTTTAGCGGATTGAGGAAAGTAGATCCCTCGATAAGAGATGATCATCGGTTGCTGGGCCAAAAAGTCGGCATCGCAACCAATTGTTTCACATTGTCTGCGATCCATCGATCTGATGAGCCTCAAACGCGTAGTGTAGCGTGTGACCGGATTTCAAAATTTAAGTGGAAAACCCGCGAACTAACAAATCAGCTACAGCCTGACTTCTGAGGGTTCTGAGGTTCCACTCATGTGGATGGGACCTGACCTAACTGTACCAGAGATGCTCACCAAGAACCATACCATTCCTCCAAAGGTTCACCTTCATTTCCTGATGTGCTTTCCGCTTTAGGTGGACAGTTCCGCACTTTCCTTCGGCTTGAAGAAGACTACTAAACAAAACGCTGAGGAACTCACCATCAGTTTTGCCCTTCCTGAGGCTCACCAGGTAGGACTATTTGCCAGATTCACATCCATCTAGTTTTCTACTTGTAACCTGTTAATGTAAAATTATACGGTTGTAGCCTAGCATCGTTTCACATCTTTAAGTGAGCTGTGTCTTGTGAGTGTGGCGCAGCTAATTGTAGCCTTCGTACACGTCACTCAACTTCTATTTTTGCAGACAAAAGAGATGAACGGAATATGTGAATACGTAAACATTGGATGGTCCAATGCTCAAACACAAGAAGCTTACAACTATTTCTGGAAGGCTCCGGTGGTTCTAGACTATGACTGCTAACTTGGTGGGTAGGGTGAAGGTATAACGTAGCTAAGTCGATCGTTTCAGGTAAGAGCACGTAAGAAATTAATCCAGTCTGTATGTTCAACAAGCCTGTACGAGAGTGAACCGTAAGCATTGGTAGCTGGTGCACCATGAGTCTCTCATCTATCTGCTATTCTGATTGATGTTCCGTACAATCTATCTGGTTCCGAACCCCAGGAAATTTGCTTAATTTAACCTCCAAACTTACCATTTCGTTACTGTGATGAAGACTGGTGCAAGAAATCCAGAGAACTGGAATTCATTTGCCAGATACCAGGTCCACGGTAAACACTGAAATAAACGGAAGATCATATCTTGTGCGTAGGAGGAATACCACCGGGAATGGCAAAAAACTTAGGTCCTTCAAATGTCACCCTCTAATAAAGACGTAAATCGCACCGTTACAGAATGTGCTGGCTAGGTGGAGGTACTCTCAACCTTAATGTCACGAGGTGATATGCCGCAGTCCTTTACTTGAATGGCATAAATCCGAATAAATTCCTTGTTGGCGTGAAGCCACGAGCGACACACTCTTCTCACGTGACTTGCCTTGTTCATTTTCAGGACAACGAAATGAGACGACCAAATCCTTTTACCTACACACTAGCCAATCAGGAAGCGAAATGACCGGCTAACCAATAAGATTGTTCACCTAAACAGTCAGTCGTTACATCGGTCCACGGGTAGTTCGTGCAAACGCAGGTGCCCATGGTGCACTTCTATGGATGACCAACCAATGATTTCACGTTAGTCGTGGCCCAATTTCGTTTGAACGAATCATCTCCCCCTGACACACTGGTCACCCTATCTAAGCACATGGAACGTTAGTCGGCCGACGATAACCAGTTACGAAGACTTGGCGAAGCCACGTGACTCAGTGAATCTATGCATTAGTGTTGGACATTCCCTGACTAAAAATATATCAACAGAACTAACAGGACCTCGGTAGGAAGTACAGTTCACACTGTGAATAGTACTTCATCACTCTAGGAGCCTTCCAGAACGTGACCACGTGATGGGGAATCGCGGATTAAAGCGTACGTAACGCTATAAACTGTCTAAATAGAAGTTATTCGCGTTGCTGTGTAACCGCTCTTGACCGAACGTCTGATTGTTCATCCAATGGCCGCGTTCGAATTTCACAAAATTCTCGTAAGATACGCACTACTGATCATTTGTAGTAAGCATGAGCAGCAGAAAACTCCTCCCCGGTTTTAACTGCCAGGAAAACTGTCACTTGGAATTCCCAAATCTATCCACACTATGAACATCAGCAAAAGGCTTGAATGTATTCCGATCCGTCGGAAAATGCTTGAAACCGATTGAACAGTAATCGTTTCTAGAAATTACAGTGCAAAAGTTCGCTTTTGAAATAAAAGATTCATAAGGTTAAGTGGCCAGGTTACAATCTCGGTCGAGATCTAGGGCGGAAGGAGAACACATCAGCTAATTTCGGCTTAATCGATGTGAAGTGTAAGCAAAAGAACTGGTTTGTTAGGATGGGTGAGCAAGTGTCAAGACCGATGGGGAAGCCTGTACGAACTTGAGTCTAGCTTAGGGTCTTGTGTTTTCGATTTGTATGAAGTCGCCTGCACCTTTTCTCTGTCTGTGTGAATGAGCTAGTGCTATTTTAGTTGTGTTAGGCAAAGAAATTCTGTGAACTTTGGTCGGGTTGGGATAGCCTCCTGTTTTTTGATAACTCCACACATGCAACTCGGTTTATCTAAGACCGCTCTTTATACGCTCGTCAGTTCCACGCCCTCGATTCTACTCATACTGTGGTGCATTGGGGTTTCCGCCGACCAGGCTATCAGCCGCTGTGGTGTGGATTGCAGCTTCCGACTTAAGACTTCTGCACTTTCTACATCTATTCTGTTTCCTGTGTCTAGCGCATGTACCATCATTGCTGAGTCTTTGACCAGCGCTTGTCAATCGCACGCATTCCTTATGCTCGCCAATTCTGGTGTATAGTTTTCTGGCTATTTGTCCGATGTAAACCTTGCTGCAGCCGTTGCATTTATTTGTATACACGCAGTCTCTAATCAGTTCAACTACCAGAGGGTCCTTCAGTTGCAGCAAAACTGAGCTTAACGTTTTTCCCGTCTGAAACGCTACCTAACTGTTGACTATATTCAGCAGTCATCGAATAAACTCCAACGTTCCTGCTTCATATGACTGCTGTACCCCTCCATCACCTATTGGTCCTTGATACCGAAGCCAATATCCTTCTTGAATGATGCCTAATCAAACTCACCGGGTGTCCACTTTCTTGAAGTCTGTTGGCAATATCGATCTGAGCTGCTGTTCGTTCAAACTCTTCTGACTTGACTTAATATAGATAAGGTAAGCCTGACGCACAAGGACTTTGGCTGTACTGATGGGTGATTTAAAACGGTCTCGGTGCCTTTTGGTTTCTGGCATTTGTAGTTTTCAGTTTTCAACTTTATCTATCACACAGACCAGAATTGGTAGCGTGATCAAAGTAAACGGTGTTCAACGGGAGTCTTAACGTCAGACAAACCGGAAGAACTAGACCCCAAGTTGAACTCAAGTCCATGTAGGTTCCATCATCGGTCTTAAATTCGCACACCCATCCCAACAAACCTGTTCTTTAGCTGACACCGCACGCCGATTTAGCCGAAATTAGCTGATGTGTTCTCCTTCTGCCCAAAATTTCGGCTACGATTTAGCCGAAATTAGCTGATGTGTTCTGCCCAAAAGTTCGGCTGATACCGCAATCTGTTCGCTTGATTTGACTAAGCTTTTGTGTCAAGGGCGGAACGTTGCCCAACAATGCATCTACGGACTTCCCCAAACTTTTCCGAAAACGGCACTCCAAACCTGATCGAAAATTTTTCGCTACTGCTTTACTCAATTTCTCAAAACTTGAATCCCAAATTTCACTGTTATGCAAACCACCATCTTTATCTTTTACAAAACCTTCTTCTCAAATATGCCCAAAAAAATCCTGTTACGGAACGGTTTGAGACCGTCGATCATTGAATAAAACAAATGTTCATTAGTTAGTTCACCGAGGTAATCAGCTGGCTCCAGGACGGAGTCAACTTCTGAGTCAGGTCGATATCCGATCATTCTTACATCACCATTCTTATTTCTAAAAGAATCTTATTGTGCACGGTACGTAGATACACGTGGTCTGACACAGTCCAAACGGAACTTTCCATTGACGGCATTAGATTTGCGCGCGATGACCTACCAATACATTAATTCTGCGGAAATATTTAACTACTTCGATTTCCAAAGTAGTCCACTTGTACAAAAATATTGCACCAACCCTGTCGAATGCGATAAACTGTACGACCGTGTTTACCTGTTCTTTGGTGTAAAAGAAATTGGAAAAGTAAGTTATCCACCAATGCTGTCGGCAGTAATTGACGTCGGTCAACTCGATGCGCTGAGGGAATAGTGGTCCGTCGTAGAGGTGGGGAAACAGACCAGCGTAGATGAACACGACCAGCAGATAAGGTGGAGTAAGCCTGGTCGGATAAAACAGAAAAACGGTAAGAGTTCTCATGGATACAACCATACGCATATAACAAAAATCTGATGACCAGTGTGGTTGGGTTGTTTTTGTTTTAAACGAAAAAAACAGCATCTACCCCATTTCTTCAGTGTGTCGAGTAACAAAAGCAGTTAGAGCAAAACGGAAATTAGATTTTTGATCCTCTGACGTGAATAACAGTCGGTGAATGGTGTTCACAGTTCAGACAGAGACAAACAAAAATGATCCATTCGTTTTTCCTGTAATTTTGCGGAGGGACTTCTGTCTTAAAGGGACAGGACCTTATGATATTAAGACAGTTTGCCCACTTCAGTAACCCATTCAACTGTATCGTGGGACGCTTGTCCGAAGTCCAATGTCATTTGACAGATTGGTCAGTAGATAGCGGCCTTACCAACGCAATCTCCTGGATTGACGAGTGAGGTTGGAGTTCATCTACTCACCCCGAGACAACCACTGAAGGTTTCGGTAAGCCAGTTGTGCCAAAGACTTTGTTTGCTCCACCTATTTAGGTCAGGGCACCACGGCCGTTGCTCAGTCCTTAAACAGTCATGAAATTCACGGATAAGAGTACCGTCATGCCAAATCCCCCGTCACTTGGTGACATCTGCTAGGTCACCGTACCCACTGCACACAGCAGGACAAGTGAGTAGAATCATACGATTACTGACACCTTCTGCCTGGAAGTTAAGTGCTGATATGTACTACAAGTTTCCCGCTATCAGCAATGTTGATGATTGTAAATTTACAGTAGTCGATTCTACCCATGAGGATTTCGTTTTCCAACCATGCCTTCTATCCAAACGTTTAGAGATCCGGTCACAGGAAAATGTTTTGTGCAGGCTGGGATCGGACTCCATCCTACTTCGTCTTTGTGCTCTTACGACGTGGGTGTTCATATCGATCCTCCTGTAGCTGTGAGCTTGGAGACAGTTCAGTAATTAAGGCGTAAAAATACTGCCCGGAATGTCCGTGGCTTGAGCGCAACCCCAACACCTTGATTAGTCCTGTCTAGACTTGAGAAATCTCGGCTGACGTGTTTTTTTTGGGTGGTATGGCATCTGGGCACCGGAAGGGGTGCTAAAGCGGAACGTTACATTTTTTCTGTCGATAAAACATCTCCACCAGTGTTCTTGCTGCTATCCAAGACCATTTCTGTGTTGCTGGCAATGATGAGAGTGGTGAGGAAAGTGCACTGTTATCTATAGCCTGCTTCACAATAGGCTAAGCTGGTGTCCAGCTATTTGGAACTCGAGATGTCATTTGTGTTCAGATCGCGGTCTTCACCTCCATTCTCAAATACACGGTGATGACTTATCAATGTTCACTTTGGATGAAAGGACGTTGATTTTTCGGTTTTAGTGGATCAGTTGCAAAACAGCAAGAGGATGTTTTAAGACCATCCTCTCATGTAGAAGAATCATTCGTTTTCAGACTGCGTAAGATAGTGTAGACCGAAAGCGGAACACTTCCAAAACGGATGCACATGGGTGAAACAACTCACCGTAAAAATCGATGTACGGCGTGAACAAACCAGAACTTGATACAAGGTAGACAGCCCTCTTGAACCGCTTCGAATCGAGATGCGGCCAGGTAGAAAGTTAGCAGACCTCTGAGGAAGTGAAACGCATAGGGGACAATGAATTACGATGGTCATCGCAGTATCTTAGGGACAACTTGTTCCTAACAGGTATATGGATTTTACCCTTTACCTTAGAAGCAACAGAGTACTTAAATTTGTTTGTGAGTAACCAGATGTTGTTCTAAACGTCCAGTGAAATTCGGATCAATAGCTTGACTATGGACTTTACTACTCCGTTTGGACAGCAGTTTTAGCCCTTTTCATCATTTTTTTTCGTAGCGGTAAACTCTCCCAGATACCACACTTTCTAAAATGCCAGTCACATTGGAAAACCAGCAGAAGGAATTTGGCCTTTGTTTAGAATAAACCCAGTTCACGACACACAGCCAATTCAAACTAATTTGGTTCAAAACTGAGACTTTGTCCTATAATTAAAACCAGTTTCTGATGAAAAGCCGAGCAGCACTCTATAATCCTTCCATCCTTATTAGGAATCATCTGTAGTGCGCACCTCACAAAATTCTAGGGAGTCTTGCATCCGCGACCTCCCGGCCAATCGCGCAGTCAGGAGCGCTGGTGCATCAAATCAATCGCCTTCAATGCATAGCTACCCAGTTTCTGAACAAACTGAACACGCTTGATCAGCCGAGTGTTCTACTCACACGCTCAGTGATGAATCATCAAAACCACATCACGTCATCACGTATCGACTAGCTTCCCGAGTGACAACTTATCAGATGGAAAGTTTACTCATCTCGTAAATTTACTCTTCCTCTGAGCCAATTATAGATTGATGATAGAGTTAAACGGGAACTCTCGTTATTAGACACAAGCAAGGATTTCAAGACTCGACACACCAGTGTTCATTGATGATGACAGACACGGCTTGATAACGTGGCTAATCGAAATGATGATATTGTCTTCGATGCGTAGCTTTTCTTCCCTTTCCTCTGTTTGAACATCAGGATATTTGTTAAGCTATAGCCGCCCTCTTGACACTCTTCGATCGTCGACAACTTACAAAAAGTAATCGCTGTTTCGACGGGTGGGATGGACCAGTTGTTTGAGCGCGAATTTACTGACCTGGAGGTAGTGGTTCGAACCCGACCTTTGCCTCTCGATTTCCCCTGTCTGGGGTTGAGCAACCTGGCACTGTCCCAGCCCTCGCGTTTCCTTCGGGTGGCATGGCAGCTAGGCACTGAAAGAGTGCTACAGCTGAACGATTTTTTTTTAAGGAGAATAAGGGAATGAGAGCCGTTTTCTGAATGCAGTGTTCCAGTCATTTCATTAACGTTTAGTGGTTCTGTTTGTCAAGTATCACTCAACTGGAATAACCAAGGCCCATGACGTTTACAAACCTGTACACCCATAGCGCTTCCGTGAGTTTCATTTGCGGTCCAACAGTTAGTTATGTAGCACTTTCGTGTCCTGCGTCCTGAAGACGTGGCCTTCACCCATAAAAAAACGTGCACAGCTAGTCCGCCTTTGAGCGTCGGTGCTTGCGCTGCATTGTTAGCGCATGGTGAAGAAATACCAGTGAGAGCCATCAGTGGGATTCACTGTTGGTGTGGCCCAAGAAGTTTCATAGACATGGACGTATTAAAAAATTAACCAGGGTAGTTCGACGGCGTCCTTCGAACTCCAGGGCATCATCTACCTCGGTGCCTGCTTCTTTTAAAACCGGAAGCTAGTTAGTGTCTTCACCTTAAGGGCGGAAAATGAGCTTGCACCGAAGTTGGACTACGCTTGCCATTCAACTTGCATCGTTCGGTGCATGGGGTTCTGGTTCTGTGGCTTCCAAGCCATTTGTAATCGTATACAGCTCATTGTTGAAAGATTGAACTGGATTATGCAAAATCCGTATCGAGACTTCAACCAATGGATCCTGAAATTATTCATTACGGAACGGTTTGAGACCGTCGATCATTGAATAAAACAAATGTTCATTAGTTAGTTCACCGAGGTAATCAGCTGGCTCCAGGACGGAGTCAACTTCTGAGTCAGGTCGATATCCGATCATTCTTACATCACCATTCTTATTTCTAAAAGAATCTTATTGTGCACGGTACGTAGATACACGTGGTCTGACACAGTCCAAACGGAACTTTCCATTGACGGCATTAGATTTGCGCGCGATGACCTACCAATACATTAATTCTGCGGAAATATTTAACTACTTCGATTTCCAAAGTAGTCCACTTGTACAAAAATATTGCACCAACCCTGTCGAATGCGATAAACTGTACGACCGTGTTTACCTGTTCTTTGGTGTAAAAGAAATTGGAAAAGTAAGTTATCCACCAATGCTGTCGGCAGTAATTGACGTCGGTCAACTCGATGCGCTGAGGGAATAGTGGTCCGTCGTAGAGGTGGGGAAACAGACCAGCGTAGATGAACACGACCAGCAGATAAGGTGGAGTAAGCCTGGTCGGATAAAACAGAAAAACGGTAAGAGTTCTCATGGATACAACCATACGCATATAACAAAAATCTGATGACCAGTGTGGTTGGGTTGTTTTTGTTTTAAACGAAAAAAACAGCATCTACCCCATTTCTTCAGTGTGTCGAGTAACAAAAGCAGTTAGAGCAAAACGGAAATTAGATTTTTGATCCTCTGACGTGAATAACAGTCGGTGAATGGTGTTCACAGTTCAGACAGAGACAAACAAAAATGATCCATTCGTTTTTCCTGTAATTTTGCGGAGGGACTTCTGTCTTAAAGGGACAGGACCTTATGATATTAAGACAGTTTGCCCACTTCAGTAACCCGTTCAACTGTATCGTGGGACGCTTGTCCGAAGTCCAATGTCATTTGACAGATTGGTCAGTAGATAGCGGCCTTACTAACGCAATCTCCTGGATTGACGAGTGAGGTTGGAGTTCATCTACTCACCCCGAGACAACCACTGAAGGTTTCGGTAAGCCAGTTGTGCCAAAGACTTTGTTTGCTCCACCTATTTAGGTCAGGGCACCACGGCCGTTGCTCAGTCCTTAAACAGTCATGAAATTCACGGATAAGAGTACCGTCATGCCAAATCCCCCGTCACTTGGTGACATCTGCTAGGTCACCGTACCCACTGCACACAGCAGGACAAGTGAGTAGAATCATACGATTACTGACACCTTCTGCCTGGAAGTTAAGTGCTGATATGTACTACAAGTTTCCCGCTATCAGCAATGTTGATGATTGTAAATTTACAGTAGTCGATTCTACCCATGAGGATTTCGTTTTCCAACCATGCCTTCTATCCAAACGTTTAGAGATCCGGTCACAGGAAAATGCTTTGTGAAGGCTGGGATCGGACTCCATCCTACTTCGTCTTTGTGCTCTTACGACGTGGGTGTTCATATCGATCCTCCTGTAGCTGTGAGCTTGGAGACAGTTCAGTAATTAAGGCGTAAAAATACTGCCCGGAATGTCCGTGGCTTGAGCGCAACCCCAACACCTTGATTAGTCCTGTCTAGACTTGAGAAATCTCGGCTGACGTGCTTTTTTTTGGGTGGTATGGCATCTGGGCACCGGAAGAGGTGCTAAAGCGGAACGTTACATTTTTTCTGTCGATAAAACATCTCCACCAGTGTTCTTGCTGCTATCCAAGACCATTTCTGTGTTGCTGGCAATGATGAGAGTGGTGAGGAAAGTGCACTGTTATCTATAGCCTGCTTCACAATAGGCTAAGCTGGTGTCCAGCTATTTGGAACTCGAGATGTCATTTGTGTTCAGATCGCGGTCTTCACCTCCATTCTCAAATACACGGTGATGACTTATCAATGTTCACTTTGGATGAAAGGACGTTGATTTTTCGGTTTTAGTGGATCAGTTGCAAAACAGCAAGAGGATGTTTTAAGACCATCCTCTCATGTAGAAGAATCATTCGTTTTCAGACTGCGTAAGATAGTGTAGACCGAAAGCGGAACACTTCCAAAACGGATGCACATGGGTGAAACAACTCACCGTAAAAATCGATGTACGGCGTGAACAAACCAGAACTTGATACAAGGTAGACAGCCCTCTTGAACCGCTTCGAATCGAGATGCGGCCAGGTAGAAAGTTAGCAGACCTCTGAGGAAGTGAAACGCATAGGGGACAATGAATTACGATGGTCATCGCAGTATCTTAGGGACAACTTGTTCCTAACAGGTATATGGATTTTACCCTTTACCTTAGAAGCAACAGAGTACTTAAATTTGTTTGTGAGTAACCAGATGTTGTTCTAAACGTCCAGTGAAATTCGGATCAATAGCTTGACTATGGACTTTACTACTCCGTTTGGACAGCAGTTTTAGCCCTTTTCATCATTTTTTTTCGTAGCGGTAAACTCTCCCAGATACCACACTTTCTAAAATGCCAGTCACATTGGAAAACCAGCAGAAGGAATTTGGCCTTTGTTTAGAATAAACCCAGTTCACGACACACAGCCAATTCAAACTAATTTGGTTCAAAACTGAGACTTTGTCCTATAATTAAAACCAGTTTCTGATGAAAAGCCGAGCAGCACTCTATAATCCTTCCATCCTTATTAGGAATCATCTGTAGTGCGCACCTCACAAAATTCTAGGGAGTCTTGCATCCGCGACCTCCCGGCCAATCGCGCAGTCAGGGGCGTTGGTGCATCAAATCAATCGCCTTCAATGCATAGCTACCCAGTTTCTGAACAAACTGAACACGCTTGATCAGCCGAGTGTTCTACTCACACGCTCAGTGATGAATCATCAAAACCACATCACGTCATCACGTATCGACTAGCTTCCCGAGTGACAACTTATCAGATGGAAAGTTTACTCATCTCGTAAATTTACTCTTCCTCTGAGCCAATTATAGATTGATGATAGAGTTAAACGGGAACTCTCGTTATTAGACACAAGCAAGGATTTCAAGACTCGACACACCAGTGTTCATTGATGATGACAGACACGGCTTGATAACGTGGCTAATCGAAATGATGATATTGTCTTCGATGCGTAGCTTTTCTTCCCTTTCCTCTGTTTGAACATCAGGATATTTGTTAAGCTATAGCCGCCCTCTTGACACTCTTCGATCGTCGACAACTTACAAAAAGTAATCGCTGTTTCGACGGGTGGGATGGACCAGTTGTTTGAGCGCGAATTTACTGACCTGGAGGTAGTGGTTCGAACCCGACCTTTGCCTCTCGATTTCCCCTGTCTGGGGTTGAGCAACCTGGCACTGTCCCAGCCCTCGCGTTTCCTTCGGGGGGCATGGCAGCTAGGCACTGAAAGAGTGTTACAGCAGAACGACTACACACACACACACTTTTACTTTTGCCCCACTTGTGCCAAAATATTTCTTGTGGATTTACTTCAAGCAAGAGACTTTTCCAAGAAAGCAGTTTCTACGCATTCAAGTCACGGGATAGCAAAACTGAGAAAACAGTTTTCTTCCGAAAGATAACCGTTTCAATTAGGTTTGGCGGTAGACTCCATCGAACTAGGAATCCTACAAAAACTGAGGCATGTAAACTACTCACGACATAAGGTAGAAAGTGTCCACAGCAAACGGAGCCGCCAGCATAACTTGAAACGGCCAATTTTGAAAGCTTTCTCTCATGTAGGTCAGCGCGTTACCTGTGAACAGATAGTTGGTGAAACGAATAATCAGGGTATTACTCAATAAACTCATCAGACTGTGAAACTTTCTGGTCTCTCCATAAGTAGACGAACAAAACCTAATAATGGCCCATCTTCTTAGAAGACTGATACACTCATCTGTGTTCTAGTTTGGTTTTGACGTAAGATTCATCTGGAACTTCGTTGAACTCCTTGATTATGGTGTTGCTCAACTGAATTTGCTGCACCAGGCCACTTTTTGTTTCAGTTGGTACGATGTTCGAGATATCGCGATGCGTTATTGCGTAGACGTAACAGCCTATTCACGACCGGTTTTGCCCTTCATGGGGATCACCAGGATTAACTCTGACTTCCACGCTTCCTGTGTGAAAGAACACATTCACGACCGAGCTTCTCCACCTGTGGAATCGCATTCTCCTTTAATCCTCGTCGGTAAACCTTGCTGTCCGTTAGGGTGATTATTGTATACAGTGAGGAACAATCACCTGCCGTATGTTCGAATCTTTTCCGTTTAACATGTTTCACTGTTTAACAGGTAGAAGCTAGATGAGAGTTTGCCCGGATCAGATGGGTCACCGGAATAAACCAGAGCCCGACGGAAACATCGATCAGACAAATGTTTTCAAAATAGGCGCAATAAAATTCAAAACAACCCGTGTTGTAAGGTTTCTTCCATTCTGTCCAACGCAGTGTTTGTCACAGTTGTTACATTGAGGTTCTCAGGACACCGAACTAAGTCCTGGTTTTGAGAGAGCTCATCTCAGCGTGTTTACTAGTTTGATGCTAACTGTTGTTCAACGTCGTCTTAAATGTCTTGCAATCCTTTCGGAGATGTTTTCGATACACGGGAGCATGATCCTTCTTCGTCCCTTCTTCGTTAGCAAAATAGCCGTTTAACCAAAAATTGAACTTAGCGAATCTACAGTCATATGCAAACTAATTTGGCCTTTTCGAGAGACTCACCTGAAACCCATCTGAATCTCCCGTTTGTGATGTTCTCAGGCAACTAAATGTGCTGCACCAGGCCGCCTCATGTTTCAGTCGCTACGATATTCGACAAATCGCAGAGATATTAAGATTCGAGATATCGCCTGAGAACATCAAAAACGAGAGATTCAGCTGGGTTCCAGTTGAGACTCTCGAAAAACCAAATTAGCTTGCAAATGAGTGTATATTCGCTAATTTCGTGCAATTTGGTTTCAAGTAGAACAACATTAGGTTGACGGAAACTCGGAGACTACGCCTATCTGACGAGCCCCAAAAAGGGCGAAACCGGTCGTGGGCTGTCGACAGATTTTCAGCAATCTTATGAGTGGTACATTAAACAGATGTATGAAAATTGAACTATTCTTCTAACGCACCTTTAAACATGTGCAGAGTTTAGAACAAAAACGGTGTCACTGCACGCATAAAAAACGGTATATGTAAGAAAAACAAATCTATTCCAGCACATATTGTCGATTTTCGACTCGTATTCAAACAGGGAGCCCACGAGCAGAGTCAAGCTTCACGTGACGCATTTCATCACACATTGTTACACCATAAAATATTGATCTCGTTCATCCCACAAAGGTGCATGCTTGGCAATACTTTGGTGTATACAGTACTACTGCTGTACAGTATGCGCTCGATCAGGTGATTCAATATTACTGAAATGAGTCTAACAGGGACAGATGTGAGATCTAAAATCAGTGGTTGCTATCATCACGTGATATCACCTTAAGCACTCAGCTGGTTTGATAATGTAGGGCAAGAATAAATGAAACTCAGCAGCTGACCCGAAGATGAGACCGATGGAAATAGGTGAGCACAAATGAAGGGCTAAACTGATTGAGTCAGAGTGTCTTCTCCCGGGGAATGAGTTTGCAGCAATGCCAAACCCCCTTAAACACATAAGAAGACTAGTGAGATTCATCAAAATATCGGTGAAATGTTTCACCATTTTTGCTTGGAGCTTCCTGCGAACTAATAATGCCTTGGTGAGGCATAAAATCCTGTTCACATCCGGCACTTTTCTTGAGCGAAGGGAAAAAAAGCGGCTATGCTCCGTAGGTGAACGACTGTGATGTGTTCAGATGTGAAAATTTACGCGCGAACAATGGAAAACTGTATCAAATGCCAATATCTATACGGTAATTTCGCACACATTCCACTTCCAGTAGCTAACAACTCAGGTCTCCCATCTGAAGCATTGTTTCTCTTGAATTTCACACCGAGTTTGCTTTTTAGGAAAAAGTCACACTTATCGAGTGGAGTTTTCTAAACCGCCAGTGGCCCTGTTTCTCTGCGCTACGGGGAGGAAGCTTAGTCACTGATGAACCGGCGTCAAGGATTTGAAAACATAAAACTTACTTGAAACTAGGATGCTGAATATAATGCAGTTCCCAAAGGTGATCCATAGTGCTGTGAAAACACGGATCCCATCAAGGCAGCTCAGTTGATGTGGATGTAGAATCCCTTCGGAGCCAGACTTCTCTCTTCTGGTAGGAAAAGACCAGAGCTTGTGGATGTTGTGAGGCCATGCGAATGCAGCTCCGATTTTACCGAAGAAATTCGACCGTCTGATAAACTCTGAAATATCCGTGATAGATGATACTGAAGGAGTCACTGGAACACCTAGGACCAGGTATCATCCTAACTCGTAGCCCGGAACAACCGTGCTCACCAGTCAGTCGAGGGGTCACCAAAAACGCAAATGAATGGCTCAGAAGCACGAAATTAGCGAATATACACTCATTTGTAAACTAATTTGGCTTTTCGAGAGACTCACCTGTGACCCAACTGAGTCCATCGTTTGTGATATCTCCAGGCAATTGAATGTGCTGTACCAGGCAGTCTCATGTTTCAGTCACTATGATATTCGAGATGTCGCGATACATGTGCATAGTTGTAATGCACTACTCATAAGGTTACTGGGAATCCGTCGACAGCCCACGACCAGTATCGCCCTTTTTGGGGCTCATCAGGTAGGCGCAGTCCCCGGGTTTCCGTCAACCTAATGTTCTACTTGAAACCAAATTGCACGAAATTAGCGAATATACACTCATTTGCAAGCTAATTTGGTGTTTCGAGAGTCTCGCCTGGAACACAGCTGAATCTCTCATTTGAAATGTCTCCAGGCAACTGAATGTGCTGGCTCCTGACCACACGAACTATTGCAAACAGTCAATCTCTGTTGCTCACAAGTTCCTTCACTGTATCGGTAAGTGTCAAATTGAGACAGCAGCAATACAGGTTAACCTGATAAGAATCGTCACTATGTATGTATGTATGTATGTATGTATGTATGTATGTATGTATGTATGTATGTATGTATGTATGTATGTATGTATGTATGTATGTATGTATGTATGTATGTATGTATGTATGTATGTATGTATGTATGTATGTATGTATGTATGTATGTATGTATGTATGTATGTATGTATGTATGTATGTATGTATGTATGTATGTATGTATGTATGTATGTATGTATGTATGTATGTATGTATGTATGTATGTTGTATGGTATGTATGTATGTATGTATGTATGTATGTATGTATGTATGTATGTATGTATGTATGTATGTATGTATGTATGTATGTATATGTATGTATGCGTGCTTGTATGGAGGGATGGATGGATAGAGGGAGGGACAAATTGATGGAGGGGTGTTTGAGGAAGTTATTAGGTGGACGAAGAGTGTTTAAAGGCGACTTCGAAAAACTACCATTGACTTCCATAAACACGCACTGCTTATTTCTGATCATCGGTTCTTTACATAAAAGGCTGATCTCCGTTGCTTTACATACCTTCATAAGCAGTGCTAATAATCATGTTAGATGACACCACAAAACCGATCCATTTTCGAACATTCACCAAATAATGCAGTTTTGGTAGAATCAATCGAACGTTACCTAAACGAAATTTCTCGTATTCTTCATCATCATTCAGCAGTCCTTGCACTGGCAACTCTCTGATCTCGCCTCCCTCATGCGGACTGGATGGCGAATGAATGTCCTCGGTTAATCCGGAAAACAAACGCCGAATTAATTCTTCCACAAGCTTGCGCACGATGTGGATGAAAATAGCAGCGAAGATCAAAATGAAAATGTGTGTCACCGTCATGATCCACTCAACAACGAGGCCAACCAGTATGAGCAGAAAACACGTAACAATGAGCAAGCTGGAAGCGAATAGAGTATTGATAATTCATTACATTATTACAAAATTCCATTATTACTATAGATCACTACTAGGTACCTAGAACTAGGGTGATAAACATTCACGACGAATAGGTCATATGCCTTTGTAGTACCCGCTTCGATGTGTCAGAGTGTGCATGTGCGTGTCTGTTCGTCAATCCACGACCAAACTGACCTGTAACTTCAGCGGCTGATTGGATGCATACCCCTTTGGTTGGCGTGTTTATCCCTCAATACATCAGAGAACCGTCTCTTGAATGTCCGGACATGTGAATCGGTTATTTGCTTACCGAGGACAAGGCGGACCTTTTCGGCCCGTGTTCTTACCTGAATGTTTTCCGACTTACTTCGAACTTACAATAGTGTCGACGGGGATGGAATCCGAACAAACGCGGGGAAACGCCAATGAATTACTGCTCTTAATGATAATAAAAGATAGCCTGACTAATTACTGGGTTTCTTACTCTCTATATTCTATCCTCTGGGTCAAAAATTACACTGGGTCACGGTAACACCGTTTGGGCTAGCTTAGACAAATCTTCGGAAAGCCAAGCTGTGCTAGCACTGAATGTGTGATTTTCTGGAAAAGAAAAGCCTGAACGATATTTCTGAAATTATTTTCCATAGTACTTTATACGACTCTTTGATTTAGATTCAGAAAGTCAGTATCCACGCGTTGGAAACGGTTTCAAGACGAGCCCCAATCCAGATTCCTACTGTCGAAACAATTTCACCAAAATACTGCGAGCAGTTCCTGACAAACAACTGATGCCAAGACAATCATCGCGAACCGATATTCGGCTGATAAAGTCAGTGAACGCTGTACACTAGCAGAAAATCTGGAAATATGTTGTCCGTGGAGCAACGGAGTCACTTTATCGATACTGTCATGGACAACGGTGATAGTTCACCAAGGTCATTTGAATTGCTGAGGTTCCGAATAACAGCTGACATAAAACAGGGATAAGCAGGTAATGGGTAGACTAATTTGCTTAAGCTGGGTAGCAACTTCACTCAGTATTTGTAAGCTGTGAGGACAATGGAATGAGGCAAAGGAATATCTTTAGTTATCATAAATGCTGGGAACTTAATTACGTGAAGTTACAGTAGAGAAGAATTTGTGTACCGGTGGCAAAATTTTTGAAAGTTTACTGGACTTGTGCGGTTTTTACAACAAAACCCGTGGACACTGCTATTTTTCCAGGCACAGTACGCCTCAAGAAAGAAGCGCGACGACTGTCGGTTTGACCGTTCCCACATAAGAGCAGTCGGCGTGCTGAGGTTGGGTTCGAACCACGGAAATTCCGGTCGGTAAGTTCGTGACTTAACCGCTGAGTTTTCTCGAACTCAGTGCATTGGAACCCGCTGTCTTCAGCTGCCTGTCGATCTTTTGTTTACAATTCTAAAACCTGAAGCCATCTAATAGTTTTAAAAAACGGTGACTCAAGGTAAAATTATGAGTTTTTGTCACCAAGCATTCTACTATCGCCGAAATGGAAGAACTGGGGCTGTCTTAAGAAATTAAGCCAACCCAATTCGCCTTCAAGATAAAGAACTTTTCGATCGTCTTCCAGTCTACAAACAAATCAGATAAGAAAGTTCACCTAACTGAACCGGGAAATGACTGAGTCTCCCCACCCGGTTCGATGACTGATGAGGAAATTACTTTGTTTTCCGAACGAGACCGGTCGAAATGACTATACAATAAAATGGGTGTGTAAGTGCACAAAAGTGGTTCGAACCTGAGTGGCAAATGAAGGCCGGTACCCTTCTATTCTAGTTGCATTT